CTCCCTCTCTTTCTCCCTCCCTTCTTCCCTCCCTACCTCCTTCCTCCTCTCCCTCACTCCTCTCCCTCCCGTCCTCCCTCCCTCCGTCCTGTCTCTCCCTCCCTCCCTCCGTGCATCCCTCCCCCCCCTTCCCTTCCTCCTCCTCTTCCTCCTCCTCCTCCTGCTGCTGCTGCTCCTCCTCCTCCTCATCCTTCTCCTCCTCCCTCCCTCCTTCCCTCCCATTCTGAAGAAGCCCAGGGGCACCCGAGTGGGTCCCCACCCCCGGGTGGCCCCCGGGCGTTGGGGTTATGGTCCCAGGATCCTTACACTGAAATAAATACTCCGTGGACCTTCAGGAGGACTGGGCGTATGGCCTTCCGCTTTTTTAAAATTGCGAATTGCAATGCTTATAGGGACGGCCCGGCAGGGGCAAGGGAGGAAAATGGAGATTGGAGCGGGGGGCGGATAACGGGGGGGTTGGTCGGGGCAGCCGCGGGGGCCGTGGTGCCCGAGCGCGGCCGCGCTACCGGGCGGGGCGGCTGTTGTGGAGGTCGAGTTGGGTGGGCCAGTGGGCCGAGGAGGCGGCGACCGTCGTCGTCGTCGTCGTCGTCGTCGTTGTCGTCGTCGTCGTCGTCGTCGTCGTCGTCGTCGTCGTCGTCTTCGTTGTCGTCGTCGTCGTCGTCGTCGTCGTCGTCGTCGTCGTCGTCGTGGTCGCCGCCGTCGTCGTGGTCGTCGGCGGAGGGGATGCGGAGGTGGGGCGGCGGAGCGCGGGGGGCGGGAAGCAGCAGCTGTCCCCGTCGTCGGCGCCGTGGTCACGGCGATGCTGCTGGCGTCGGTGCTGCCGCGGGCGGTGTTGCAGCGTCGGCGCCAAAGCGGCGCTCCAACGGCCCGGCTGGGGGGGCTCACTGTCCGATGTAGCTGAACACCATTTCCGCGTTGCCGCACGGGAGCTGCCGCGACAGCTGTCTCCAGAGGCCGCCAAGCGCCTCGCTCCGGTCCGCCTCGTCGACGTAGTGGCCGTGCGCGCGGATGGACTCCCTCCCTCCCTCCCTCTCTCCCTCCCTCGTCCCTCCCTGCCTCTCCCTCTATCCCCCCCCCTCCCTCCCTCCCTCCCTCCCCCCCTTCCCTCCCTCCCTCCCACCCTCCCTCCCGCCCTCCCTCTCTCCCTCCCCGCCCCCCCGCCCCCGGGCCTTGAGCGCCTCGGGGCCCTCCCGGGACCTCGCGGGCTCCCCGCCCGGGACCTCGCGGGCTCCCGGCCCGGGACCTCGCGGGCTCCCGGCCTCGGGCCCCGTTGCGCTTCCGGCCGCGCGGCGCAGCTGCCGCAGGGGCGCGCGGCAGGTGCGCCGCGCGGGTGGGCCTCTGCCGAGCCCGCTGGGCGCGGCACGCCCGCGCCGCGGGAGCGGCCTCGGGTCTGCCTGTGCTTTGTCCCCCCCCTCTCTCTTGACGAACGAACAACACACGCCCATACCCATAGGGAGGTCGTTGAGATGAGGACTGGCTATGGGTATGGGTGCGGGTTGTCGGACCCTGGGGAACGCTCCCGCTCGAGTGGGGACCCCTATCCGACAACACGCACCCATAGCCCTCTCCGATCACCCTATGGGTATGGGTGTGTGTTGTTGGTTCGTCACCTCTTGCTCCTCGCTTTCGAGGCTCGTTCTGGGGGCTTCCCTGGGGCCCGCCTGACGGATTCGCTCGATTCGAGTTCGACCCCAGCTCGGCTCAGGTTCGACTCAAGTTCGACTCAGGTTCGACTCAGGTCCGACTCAGATTCGACTCAGGCTCGGCTCGACTCGACGGATGTTCGACGCACCTTCGACGCACGAGTGGAGCGAGTGGCTCCTAGAATGTACCCAGAAAAATAATCTAATTCGTTCTTGTCGTCGAACTGTCGAATTGTCCTGGTTCTTGCTTTTCGTCGTCGTCGTCGTCGTCGTCGTCGTCGTCGTCGTCGCCGTGGTCGTCGTCGTGGTCGTCGCCGTGGTTGTCGTCGTCGTGGTCGTCGTCGTGGTGGTCGTCGTGGTCGTCGCCGCCGTCGTCGTCGTCGCCGCCGCCGTCGTCGTCGTCGTCGTCGTCGTCGTCGTCGTCGTCGTCGTCGTCGTCGTCGTCGTCGTGGCCGTCGTCGTGGCCATCGTCGTCGTCGTCGTCGTCGTCGTCGTCGTCGTCGTCGTCGTCGTGTTCGTGGTGGTGGTGGTGGTGGTCGTCGTCGCCCTCCCCCTCCTCTGCGAGCTGCACGCTCACGAGTCACACAGAGGTGCAAATTGCATCCCCGGCGCCGGCCCAACCGCCGTGCTCTTGTAGGGCCGTCCTTCCGGATGTATGTCGGCGCCTCGCCTCGCCTCGCCGTCCTTGCCGTGGGCCCCCTGGGCTGCTGCTCCTCCTCCTCCGTAGCCATTTTGGCTCAAGCGTTCGCACGGCTGCCCGTCGCCCCTCGCCCTCGGCCACGTCTTTGGCCTGGTGGCGTGGCGCAGGCTAGAGGGGCTTGCGCGACTCCGCTCGCTGCGGCCGCCCTCGTGGAGGCGGCTGTGCGAGGGGCGGCCCTTGCTGGAGCGCTGCGGCGGACCGTCGCTGCGGTCGCGCGCTCCGCCATCTCCGCCGTGCTGTTCCAGCTGGGCGAGAGGCGGGCGCCGACGGTGCGCGACATGAAGATCGTGATCGTCCTGACGGAGGTGCTGACCCCGCTGCGCAGGCGGCGAAGCGGCGGCGGCGGCGCCGCCAGCGCCGCGCGGCGCGCCGCGCTGCCGCCAGGATGGACACCGATGCCATGACGGAGGAGGAGGAGGAGGGTGCTGGTGCGGCCGCTGCTCCCGCGGGCCTCGCGCTCGTGCAGGTGGCGGTGGCCTCCGCCGTAGCGCCCTACGACGACGACATGGATGACGAGTGGGCAGACGACGCACGTCGGGTCGCCCCTCGTCTCGCGGAGGCTGGTGCTGCTGCTGGAGCCGACGGGCGCGCTGCGGCGCGGCGGTCGTCGGAGGGGGTGGCGGTCGCGGAGCCCAAGGTCGTGCAGACGGGAGCGGTGCCTGGTGGCGGCGCGGGCGTCGTGACGGCCGAGGTGTCGGCGCTCCTGGGGAGGCTGGGCGTCGGCGCTGGGGACCCGGGGGGCCTCCTGGCGGCGCTGGGCGCCATCCCCTCGCTCTCGGAGGGCGACAAGGCGGTCGCGAGGCGCCTCCTCGTCAGCCTCGCGGACGGCCGCTGCCGGTGGCCCGGGCTGCTGCCAGACGCCGCTGGGGGCTCGGGGGGACGGTAGGGGCCTGGGCCGTTTTGTGGCTAGGGCGCCGTCCCCCCACCCCCGGCGGCGCATGGTGCTCGCCTTCGGCCAGCACCACTTCGACCTCGGCTGATGTCGCGCCTGTTCTCCAGGCTCCCCAGTTGCCCCTTGGCGGCTGCGGAGACTCTGCAGGCCCTCGCGTCCTCCTCCTCCTCCTCCTCCTCCTCCTCCTCCTCCTCCTCCTCCTCCGTCGAGCACGTGGGAGAATCCGAGCCCTAGCCTACCGCCACCTCCCATCGATTCGGGAAAGTCGATGGTTGGTGTGGGTAGGGTTCGGATTTCGCCACCGACTCCTGCTCCTGCTGCCCCTCGGGCTTGGAGGGCTGGCGGCTCGGGTGTCAGTGGTGCGGAGCTGGCCGAATCTGCTGCCCCTCGCTCCTGCTCTTGCTCCCTTGCCTCCTCCTCCTCCTCCTCCTCCTCCTCCTCCTCCGTCAGAGAACGACTCGGGAGGAAAAGCCGTTCCTGGGGGAAGGGTCGGGGGTCCTCCTGGGGGTCGGCGTCATGGGCAAAAGCATGACTCCTCCTTCTCCTTCTCCTCTTCCTCCTCTCTCTCCTCTCCCTCCCTCCTTCAGATTCTGGTGGGAGGTTGCAGAGCCCGGAGAGGGGTACGGTGCGCGCCTGGCGTCCCGCCGCAGCCCCCCGCGCCCCCTCCTGCCCAGCCTGTCCAGCGGCGCGGACCCTTCGCCCCGGGTGCGGCGCGCGGGTGCGGCGCGGGGGGGTCCGGAGGGCCGAGGTGCGCGGCCGTGATCGACGCGCCAGGGGGAGGAACGAGCCCACGTCAAGCTGAAGGTGTGGGGCGCGCGCGCACGGTCGTCGGGGAGACCGGCCGTGGCGCTGAAAGGAGCGGCCCCCCCAAGGTCCAGGGCCTGCCGGCGCGACGGGGGCGGTGTTCTCTGCAGGAGCTCTTCGGGATGCGGATGACGATGGCGATGAGGCGGGGGAGGAGGAGGATGAGAAGGAGGAGGAGGAGGAGGAGGAGGAGGAGGAGGAGGAGGAGGAGGAGGAGGAGGAGGAGAATGAGGAGGAGGAGGACAAGGAGGAGGACGAGGAACAGGATTATGATGGCAACGACGATGAGGACGATGATGGTGAGGATGATGATGAGGGCGATGATGATGACAATGCTGATGGTGATGGTGATACTGATGCTGATGATTGTGATGTTGATGACGATGATGGCGATGATTTTGGTGATGGTGGTGGTGATGATGGCACGGTTGATTATGATGTTTTAGTGAGGATGGTAATGATGCTGAAAACACGACGATGCTGCCCTTGCGGTTGTTGGTGATGATGCTGTCGCTACAGTTGATGATGATACTGGCTGTGTTGCTGCTGGTGCGGTCGGTCATGTTGTGGGTGATGATTATGATGATGCTGTTTTCGATGATGATGACAACAGTAGATTGGATGATGCGGAAAGTGATGTTGATGGTGGGGCTGATGACGATGATGGTGATGATGATGATGATGACCACGACGTCGACGTCGACAACGACGACCATGGTGGTGGTGAGGAGAAGGAGGTGAGGAGGATGAGAGGAAGAAGCGGGGAGGCGGGGGAGGAGGAGTAGGAAGAGGAAATGGAGGCGGAAAACGAGGATGCTGGCGATGATGATGATGATGATGATGATGATGATGATGATGATGATGATGATGATGATGATGATGATGATGACGATGATGATGACGATGATGATGATGATGATGATGATGATGATGCTGATGATGCTGATGATGATGCTGATGATGATGATGATGATGATGATGATGATGATGATGATGATGATGATGATGATGATTATGATGACGACGATGGTGATAATGATGACGATGATAATGATGCTGATCATGGAGGAGACGGAGAAGGAGGAAGAAAGGGAACGGCGGGCCATAACAATTGTGTATCAAACCATGTCAGGTGCGCTAGTGCGTGCGCGCCTTTTTCACAACTGGCTTGGCACCGCCAGGCTCGCACCGTGCGGGGAACGGGTATGGATACGCCCCCAACAAGATCGGGAAGTTGCCTGTGGTTGAAAGAAGTAAGGCGAGATGGTCGCAGCAGTGGATTTGCACACGCTGCGGCAAGTGGCCGCCCCTGAACCGGAGGAACTGCAAGTGCGGGCAAGTGTGGGCGCTTTGAGGCGTGCAACGAGGCACGCGTGATAATGAGGAGCAGGAACTGGGCGCGCAGTTGAGCATCAAAGATCTGCGCTGCCTGATCTAGCAGGTGCCCAAGGTCAAAACGGAATTGTTTGCTTATTGTCCGTTGCAGTGGAGCACAATAATATAGAGGAAATGTTGCGGCTGTGGGTGGAGAAACTTGTCAATGAGTGTTGGGGACTTGAGGGGCAGTGGCTAATGGCCGTCGGCCCATCCAGCCACCGTACCTGAGTTGTAGGTCGTAGGCCTCTGGGATGTTCGTTGGGATGTCGCGGGAGGCCTCTCGGGGACTTCTCGGGGGCTGGTTTGAGGCCTTTTGGGCCGTTTTGGGGCTTCTTGGGCCGTCATCGGGGCCAATTGGGGGTCTCTTGGGGCCTCCCAGGGATCTCTTGGGGCCTCTTGGGGGCCTCTTGGGGTCTCCTTGGGGGTTCCTGGGGGACTCTTGGGGCGGAAGGCTCGGATTTTCGGTTCGTGTTCTCCCTCTTGGGTCCTTCTTGGGGCTGTGTTTGGGCCCCATTGGGCCGTCTTGAGCACCTCAGGGGCCGTCTTGGAGCCTTCTGGGGACCTCTTGGGCTGTCTTGGGGCGGTCCTGGGGGCCTCGTGGGCTGTCTTGGAGCGTCGGGAGCTCGAAACGTCGGAAAGGGCGTGTTCTACCGCTGCTGGCAGAAAACCGGGGGGGGTCACTACCGGTTCGACCCCCCCCCCCCTCCGGAAAACTGGGGGGGGGGTCACTGCCGGTTCGAACCCCTCCCCCCCCCCCCCAGTTCATCATGAAAAGGGGGGGGGTCACTACCGGTTCGAACCCCCCCCCCCCGAAAAGGGGGGGGTCACTACCGGTTCGAACCCCCCCCCCCCTCCTCGAAAACCGGGGGGGGTCACTACCGGTTCGAACCCCCCCCCCCCCTCGAAAACCGAGGGGGGGTGCGGACAGTGGTGGGGACGGTGGTGGTGGGGACAGTGGTGAGGGGACAGCGGGACAGTGGTGGGGACAGTGGGACAGTGGTGGGGACGGTAGTGGTGGGGACAGTGGTGAGGACAATGGTGGGAACAGTGGGGACAGTGGACAGTGGTGGGGACGGTGGTGGTGGGGACAGTGGTGTGGGGACAGTGGGAATGAGGTGGAAACAGTGGGACAGTGGAGGGTACAGTGGTGGTGGGGACAGTGGTGAAGGCGGTGGCGAGGACGGCGGTGGGACAGTGGGACAGAGGTACAGTGGGGACAGTGGTGGGGACAGTGGGGACAGTGGTGGGAACAGTGGGACAGCTCAGTGGGACAGCGGAGGAGTCAGTGGGACAGTGGGGACAGTGGGGATAGTCGGGCAGTGGTTGGGGCCGTGGAGAAAGTGGGGAGAGTGGAACCGTGGTGGGAACAGTGGTGGGGACAGTGGGGACAGTGCGACAGTGGTGGGGGCACTGGTGGGGACAGTAGGGACGGTGGTGGAACCAGTGGGGACAGTGGTGGTGAGGACAGTGGTGCTGGGAACAACAGTGGGGGATGTGGTGCGGACGGTGGTAGGGACCGGGAGTCGTTTGCTGGCGGTGAGTGGGGGGGTGGGGAGGGGTTCGAACCGGTAGTGACCCCCCCTCCGGTTTTGAGGGGGGGGGGGTTCGAACCGGTAGTGACCCCCCCGATTTTCGAGGGGGGGGGGGAGGGGGGGAGGGGTTAGGGAGGGGGGGGGGGGGTTTGCCAGGGGAGAGGGGGGGGGGGGGGTGTCCAGCAGGGGGGGGGGGATTTTCGGAAGGGGGGGTGGGGACTCCCGGGTTCCGGAGGAAGAGGGCGGCAATTTTCCACAGTAAAGCGGCGGTGCATCGCGCTCTCTCAAAAGTCGAGGACCCCTAAATCATTGAACAACTCACGGGAAATCAATGATTTTGGCCTTTCGGGGCCCTCTTGGGAAGGCTCATGGGGCTCTCTTGGCGCGTCTTGGAGGTTCTCGTCTTTGTGCGATCTTGGCAGTTTGGGCTCCTCCGGAATGCCCAAGGAATTCGGCAAAGGACCTGAGGACTCGCCCACTCCGTGCCCAGCGGCACGATGGAATTTATGCTGGAGTGCATCATGCTGACGGCCCGCTCCAGCGCAAACCCAAACAGCACCTTGTCGAGACTCCGGGGATGCCCAGGCGAGGAAGTGGAAACTATCACCCAAATGATGTGGCGCGCATACTCATTTTCGATACCCTCCGCGTGAAGGGTGGCCCAGGGGCGACCGAGGAGACCGAGACCTGAGACTGTGTTGGAGGACTGCGAAGCCATCGTCGGGAACGACCCCGTGCGCGTATTCGAGGGCTTGCAGCTCGCTTCTCTGCCGCAGGAGGAGCTTGAACATCGAGGGGCGTGCGAAGGTGAGCATCAACGCCAGCGCATGTTCCAGTGTCCCAGCGGAGCGATCGGGAATTCCGCCCCGAAAAGCATCTACAACCCGAGTGGCCCGCTCATCATCGGCTGTGTGGAGGACACTGGGTGCCAGTACGTGGACACGGCTTTCTGCTGCAGGAGGAGAGCGGCGTCTCGTGGATCGTGGGGGAGAGGGGACATGGAAGGAGGAGGAGGAGGCGGAGGAGGAGGAGGAGGAGGAGGCGGAGGAGGAGGAGGAGGATGAGGAGAGTAGGAGGAGGAGGGGGAGGAGGAGGAGGAGGAGGCGGAGGAGGAGGAGGAGGAGGAGGAGGAGGAGGAGGAGGAGGAGGAGGAGGAGGAGGAGGAGGAGGAGGAGGAGGAGGAGGAGG